TATCCGAGAGTTCGGCGGATGTGAATATGTAGGACGCATGGCTGGGCATGCATGTACCAATAGTAGAACGCAATGCTGCATGAAGCAAACAAACTTGTGCTCGGCGGCATGCTCACAATGGCTGCAGCGTACCGAAATCAGCTTGTTACAGCACAGTGCAGTGCTACTTGCGACTGTCCATGGCTCATGTTTGCGAGAGCAGTCTCGAGGCTCCAATATGGTAATTTGCAGCAATAGAAAGAGTGCAAAGAGAAAAGAAACAGCGAGAGGGAGAGGAAAGAGGCGCAAAGGAGAAAGGGAGACCGCACTGTGGAAATTGAAAAAGAGCGAGAGAGAGAGAGAGAGAGAAAAGGCAGAAAAAACAGAGAAAGAGAGGATGAAGCAAGAAAGAGAAAGAACGAAAGAAAGAAAGAAAGGAAGGAAGGCAGACAGGAAGAACGGAAGAACGGAAGAACGGAAGACGGAAGAAAGAAAGACAGAAAGAAAGAAAGAAAGAAAGAAAGAAAGAAAGGAAGGAAGGCAGACAGGAAGAACGGAAGAACGGAAGAACGGAAGAACGGAAGAACGGAAGAACGGAAGAACGGAAGACGGAAGAAAGACAGAAAGAAAGAAAGAAAGCAAGGAAGGAAGGCAGACAGGAAGAACGGAAGAACGGAAGAACGGAAGAACGGAAGAACGGAAGAATGGAAGACGGAAGAAAGAAAGACAGAAAGAAAGAAAGAAAGAAAGCAAGGAAGGAAGGCAGACAGGAAGAACGGAAGAACGGAAGAACGGAAGAACGGAAGAACGGAAGAACGGAAGACGGAAGAAAGACAGAAAGAAAGAAAGAAAGAAAGAAAGAAAGGAAGAAAGGAAGAAAGGAAGGACAGGAAGGAAAGGAAGGAAGGAAAGGGAGAAAAACAAATGGAAAACAAACAAAAGAAGGAAGGAAGCTCAGAAAGAATAGAAAGAGACCAAACATATGAAACGGGAAAGAGACCAAAAGCAACGAAGAGGGAAAGCATAGAAAAGAGAGAATGATAAGTATAGGAGTAGGGGAACTCAAGGTCGAGTTTGGGCATGGCCGTGCACGTGTCCAAACCTCTTGGGGTCCATTTCGGAAGGCAACTGACAAGCCAATCTTCGGAATAGGTTTGGAGACTTTCCCGCTATTCAACGCGTGGCTTTTTCTGCTGTCAGAATCTGCGAGTCTTTCTTTGTGCCTCAGCTTTGAATCCAAGCACTCACCGGCGTTTTTTCCTGTCTGATTCAGGCCTGTGTGGAGATGCTCGCAGGCTCCTCACACGACAATGCGAGCTCAACGTTCAAAGCCCCAAGCTGAGCCTCAGCTTCAGGAGGTGCGGCCGCCGGAGACTTCGCTGGAGACTTCAGCTTTGAAGGTTGACACTCCGACGACCAGTATTCCTTGCGAAGCAGGCTCAGAGAGAGCTTCCCGGATTGCTCTTGATGCATGGGAATGAATGGCGCCCTCTCCTGAATATCTTCAGCCACATAAATCTGCTTGTACTTCTCTTGTAACCTCAGCACAAAACGAGTGACCAGCACTCGCATGCTTTCAGTCCAAGGTGAAAGCTGTTGAAAGGTGAGTTCCTGCATCAACATTACTCACAGCTTGCCAATGGCTGTATCTCTGCGCCTGCTTGTGCATTCCAAGTTTAAACGATGTTGTCCTGTCCATCCTCCGGATCAACGCGAACTTCTTCTCGGTCTTCATGCTGGCAAAAGATCAGCCATACTGTTAATTTGTTTGCAGATCGCATCACTCTCACACCTCATCTGTGCCGGCATCTTGCGGATGAGCCGCCTGCAATAAAGCTAAAGCTATGAAGCTGTCGGTGTGGACTGAGAGGCAGAACATGTACACACTTTCCTACCTGGTAGCTTTCTTGTTCAGCAATAATCTTATCAGTACTGAAGTGTGTACTTTGAACCAAGAACCTTGCGAGAATGCTGATGTCATGCCCCAAAAGGCGTACTTCGAGTGGCTCCAAAGCATATAACCTAGCATGTAGCAAATAACAAGGTATGCGCTCCCGGAAAATTGGGCTGCAACCTTAGGGGCTACACCCTCAAAGGTACACGACATTCACCCTTCAACTGTCAATGGTGGCAAAGCCAATCAGAATGAACAATAAGAACCAGCGACCGTAAACCCTGCATGTGCGGTGCCTCTGCACTTGCTTTTGGAACTGCTTTTGCAGCAGCTTTGGTCGCAACGCGGGGTCGTGCCTACAGCACAAGAAGAACCAAGGGACATTCACTTCCCAGTGATGCGCAATCTAGTGCCCAAAGCTCAACACATGCCCGAGACGTTGATTCATGCGAAGAAGAACCGCCTTGAAACCAACCACTAGTGCGGCACCTCCAACATCTCCGGCGGACGCTGCGCATTCAGAATTGCGGTAGCATCGGCCCTGGCCGCAAGCAGCTGATGACGAATTGTAAGACAACATACACCCAAAAGCCTGAACAGTCACACCAGAAGAACACCCTTTCTAGG